TTTGAGTAGAAGTCATGGATAATCTTCTCCATTGCCGTTCTGGAGGATGTGATGGATCCATCAGGACGTCGGAGGGCAGTCATCTTGGTCTTATAGTTGGCGAAGGACAGGCGGGCGTTATGAATACTTTTCCAGGCTTCTGCCGCATCTACCAGTACTTCTGCTCTTCTCTCTTTGAGGTCTTCCTTGATCGCATCTCTGCACTGCTTTGCGAGCTTGGACGTTAGCTTGCGGTTGCCTGAGGCATGCGCCAAACCACGCTGGCGAATTAGCTCAAGAGTTTTCGAAGATAGGCGATTTTTTGTGGCTATCTCTCTCTTGGCGTTCCTCGCACATTCATGGAGGTAGGTGCTGAACCAGTCGATCGTATTCCTCGTCAATGTTGTCAACAATGGCATCTTCCCATGTTGCCGCAATAGTACCAAAGAGTTCCCAGTTGGTGGTCATTCTGGGAGTTCTCTTTTTGAACTTTGCAGCCCTTTCTCCCCGCTCTGTGAAGTAGAATTTTGCACGAAGGAGACGGTGGTCCGATCCCGTTCGAAATTTTGGGACAACAGCGACATCAGTCAGGCAAAACCGTCGATTGAATATGATGTGGTCTATTTCGTTGTGGAATTGTCCACCGGGAGACTCCCATGTCCATCGTTTAGATTCTGCCTTCTGGAACTGTGAGTTACCATGAATGGTCTTGGTCGACATGATGAACTCAGACAGTCTCTCACCCTGTTCATTCCATTCTAGGCCATGGGTCCCGATGTGAAGTTCTTCAGCTGATCTTCTCGGTCCTATCTTGGCATTAAAATCACCCACAATGATCTTGTAGAAGGTGTGGTCTTCTTTATAGAACTTCTCTAGCTCCATGTAGAACTTCTCAATTTCTCTTTCATCATAATGAGATGTTGGTGCGTAGACAATGAAGATAGAAACTGCAGGCAGTGAGACACATCTATTCAAATGTAAACGTCCGATTCGGGTTGTTAGGCATTCGAATGAATCAATGCTCTTGGCCAAGTTTGTGTTGACAAGGACACCGACGCCTCCAACACCTCTTTTATCGCATGTTCCGAGGAACAATTCTTCTCCAGTGTCGAAAACGGCATGGTGAGATTCGTGCCTTCTTGTCTCGGTCAGACCAATGATGTCGTACTTGATCATTCGCGCTTGTACCATCAGGTCCTCGATGGATGCATCTGATGCTAGCGTACGTGCATTGAAAGTACAGACGATCATTTTTGTCTTCCTTCGTTGTGGCAGCCTAGGTCGGCCTTGAGATTTTGTCGGCCTCTCCTTTCTCATCCTTCTCAGTGCTGCCATGTCGGTGAAGCCTTCAGGGTCAGGTGAATGAGACCAGTTGTAGTTACTGGTTTTGGCATATCGAATACACAGCGGATAGCTTGCCAGGCTCTTCCGTGCGGGCGGAATACTCTCGGTAGCTTGCCAGTCTTTCCGAGAGGGATAGAGGCTTTTGGGGTGACCTCTAATCACCCTTGTAGGTGTTACCATATTTGAACCCTATCAAATATGGTACGACAATTCCAGAAGATGGGTATTTAGTGTCTTATGATGTGTCGTGCGGCCGCTTGCGGCCGCGCGGGTCTGGAAAGCGTCCTGGAGTGTGGCGACGGCTGGGTAGTGGAAGTAGTGTCGAGAATGGAAGTCTACCAGTGGGGTATTTATCTGGGTAGGGTGGGTCTCCTGTGCACAATCCGATCCCTGGGTGGTTGATGGAAGCAGACAGGGCAGGGTAGGGTGGGGCTCCTGATTAGAATCCCTTTGTCACCTGTGGTGGTGGGAGCAAGCAGAGAAGCTCTGTCCCTGGGTCCGCCGAGCCTGGAGTCCAAGGTCTCAGAGAGTTCTGCTTATCTTGTTCTGTGGGTCTTCAGTCGTGCGTGGGTCTCGGCCGGAGCTGCCACGCGGGTCCGGAAAGCATCCTGGAGTGTGGCGACGGCTGTGGTGGTGGGAGCAAGCAGAGAAGCTCTGTCCCTGGGTCCGCCGAGCCTGGAGTCCAAGGTCTCAGAGAGTTCCGCTTATCTTGTTCTGTGGGTCTTCAGTCGTGCGTGGGTCTCGGCCGGAGCTGCCACGCGGGTCCGGAAAGCGTCTTGGAGTGTGGCGACGGCTGGGTAGTGGAAGTAGTGTCACTGTAACTTTTTAATTAAAAAAATTATTCCTTCCCTGTTTTCTCAGCTGATGTTGTGCAGTGACCCAAGAGGGGTCAAGCTCAGCTCAATCGTGGTCTGGCTAATTTGGTTGGGGTGGGTGATGCTCACACAGTCAGGTTGTACTGCTCGCTGTGGTGCTCACTCATGGCCACCGTGCTCCCACACACCTGGGTGCAGTGCCACCAGAAATCGCTCACAGCACTGCCAGGATTATACTTGGCACATGTGGTAGTACTCAGGACCTGACTTGGCCTGGGGTTTGTCACACAAGCTCTGTAGCCACCAACCTGTCATTTCCTGGCCCCACTTCTGTTATCTGATTCTTAAGTTTTGCTATTTAATGAGAGGATATCAATCTGAAATTTTCACTAGATTTTGGGTTACTTTTAGAAACATGTTGGTTGGGAGAATAACTCAAAGGGCTGGAGCATATACTTGCCCTGTACAGGGCCCTGGACTCAATCCCCAGCACAGCTGGAGAAGGAGTCCCAGAACTCTGGGGATGCAAATTTGATAAATAAGGTTTCTGCTCTTTTTGCTTTTGTTTTTTCACTTAGCAAAAACAATTTATGTGTTGGTTTTGGACCACACCTGGCAGTGCTCTTGGCTCTGCACTCAGGAATCACTCTTGGTGGTACACAGGGACCAGGGACCAAATGGAATGCCAAGGATTGAACCCAGGTTGGCTTGGGCAAGGCAAGCACTGTACCTGCTGTACTCTTGCTCTCATCCCAGCAAAAGCAGTTTTGATGTCTTAAAATAGCCACTAATTATTTTAATAGTTTACCCCCAAACTTCTGTTTCTGGGGATCCTTTTTATTTTTTTTTAATTTTAATTTTAATTTTTTTTGCTTTATCGGGTCACACTCGGTGATGCACAGGGGTTACTCCTAGCTCTGCACTAAGGACTTACCCCTGGCAGTGCTCAGGGGACCATATGGGATGCTGGGAATCGAACCCGGGTCGGCTGCATGCAAGGCAAATGCCCTACCCGCTGTGCTATTGCTCCAGCCCCTGGGGATCCTTCTTAATTGAATATTGCACAGAATTAAAAATGTATTAAGGGCTGGAGAGATAGTACAGTGGGTCAGACATTTGTCTTGTATGTGGCCAAACTGCATTTGATCTCTGGAACACCATATAGTCCCCTGAGCCCAGCCAGGAGTGATCCCTGAGTGCAGAGCCAGGAAGAAGCCCTGAGCACCACTGATGTAGCTCAACCCCACCTTCCCAAGTATATTAAAAGACAGAATATAAACTTTGAGGAAAATGCCACAATCTGCATTGAACAATATACATGTTCATTTTTTGTTTGATTTTGGGCCATTTTCAGCAATGCTCAGGAATCACTCTTGGTGGTGCTCTGGGGACCATATGGAATATTGGGAATCAAACCTGTAGGCTGCAGGCAAAGCAAGTGCCCTTCCTGCACTACTACACTCTAGCCCCAGACTATATTCATATTTTGACAGCTAATCAAGTCTTCTTTGAAGAATGCTCACAGATTAGAAATAGCTGAGAATCCTGGTCCGTCCACCCCCACCCCCGATAAAGTAATTTTATTCTTTTGTAAGGAGGTAAGGAGGGAACATAGAGGCACAACATGTCCCCATACTGTTTATATATCCACCCACATGTATGTTTGTATAATATTTTTGTTTTTGAGGATCAAGCCCAGGACCTTAAGCATTCAGGACAAATGTTGTACTGCTGAACTGCATTATATCCCCTGCCCTGTCACGCTATTTTAAATTGGTGAAATGTGAGTGGAGTTTTCTCTCCTGCCTGGACTTGATTTTCCCTCAAAATTGGTAAATTATAATTCATGAATGAATAATTAAAAATGTGGCTCTCCATAAACAAACAAAAAAGAAACATCAAAAAGCTAGGGAAGGAAGGTAAGCTTGCTTTATAGCCGCTGACTTCAGTTTCATCCTCGACATTGCATATGGTTCTCACAAGGACCCTCAAGGGTGATCCCTAAGCACAGAGCAGGAGTAAGCCCTGAGCACTTTCAGGTATGGCCCAAAAAGTAACTAAAAAAAAAAAAAGCAAAATAAAATAAAAGTCTGGCTCTAGTAGGAATTGACAGTGATGTCTTAGAGAGAAGTTTCATGTCTTCCTTATTTTGTAATTAAATGAGGTGTATTTAAATTTTGTAACATGAATGTCAAAGAGACTTTAAACTATATTATCAGTTATGTAAGGAAGGAGGAAAGTAAAATGTTGATATCATTTTAATTTTTAAAAACTTTTTTTGCTTTTTTTGGGGGGGTCACACTTGGCAATGTACAGGGGTTTCTCCTGGCTCATGCACTCAGGAATTACTCCTGGCAGTGCTTGGGGGACCATATGGGATGCTGGGAATTGAACCTGGGTCGGCCGTGTGCAAGGCAGATGCCCTACATGCTGTGCTATCGTTCCAGTCCCTGATATTATTTTTATTTATTTTGCTTTTTTGGGTCACACCTGGCAATCCACAGGGGTTACTCCTGGCTCCATACTCAGGAATTACCCCTGGCGGTGCTCAGGAGAACATATGGGATGCTGGGAATCGAACCCGGGTTGGCCACGTGCAAGGCAAACACCCCACCCGCTGTGCTATCACTCCAGCCCTGATATTATTTTTAAAGAGTTGACTTTAAATCAGTGTCGAAATACTTAGGAGTAAAATGTCCTGATGTCAAAACTTGTTGATCACCATGTTAAAATGATTGAGTTTAGGAATTTATGTCCCTATATGTGTTTTTTTCACTTTTGAAATTTTTTATAATAAATATGTAAGCAAACCTTTTATTTAAGACTTTAAATAAAAGTAATTTATTTTCTTTTAAGTTCTAGGAAGGTTAGAATGAATGTTCATAACACTAATAAAATAACAAGGATTTACAATGTTATTGGAATGATCAGAGGATCTGTGGAACCTGGTAAGTCAGTGAAAGGCTTTTTTTTTTTTTTTGCTTTTTGGGTCACACCCAGTGATGCTCAGGGGTTGTTCCTGGCTCTGTACTCAGGAATTACTCCTGGTAGTGCTTGGTGGACCATATGGGATGCCAGGGATCGACCCTGGGTTGGCTGTGTGCAAGGCAAACGCCCTAACCACTGTACTAGCACTCTGTCCCCAAGTCGGTGAAAGTGTTTGAAAAATTGTCTTTTTAAGGGAAAGTAGAGAAATGTTAGTCAGCAGTTGATTATTTTCTTATCAGTGTGAAGCTACTAAATTTGAAAAAAATATCTCTGTGGGGCTGGAGTGATAGCACAGCGGGTAGGGTGTTTGCCTTGCACACGGCCTACCCGGGTTCAATTCCCAGCATCCCATATGGTCCCCTGAGCACCACCAGGAGTAATTCCTGAGTGTAGAACCAGGAGAGTAACCCCTGTGCATTGCCGGATGGGACCCAAAAAGCAAAAAATAAGTAAATTTAAAAAAAAAAGGAAAAAAATATCTCTGTAAAAGACTGCTGGTGTTAATCTTTGTATGGGGAAAGAGGGGGACTTCTTTGTGTGGGAACTCTGCACTGGGCTGTTTTCACTTGGGGAACTCCAGAGGGGGGCAGGTAAAAGCCCTCCCTGCCCCAAGGGATCCAGCCCCGGTAGCTGACCTCCACTATCCAATCGCTGCCATGCTCCAGGCTGCTTTCCACATGCTTGGGCCGAGACTCACATATGAGTGAACATATTCCTGGGCACATCATAAGACACTCCCTACCCATTTTCCATAATTACCACACCATATTTGATGGGGTTCAGATAGTAAGCAACAAATCATAGAGAGAAATATATATATATATATTTAGATGTAAGGTAAAGGTAAAGGTAAAGGCCCTCCCGTTGATCGTCGATTTGCTCGAGCGGGCCCAGTAACGTCTCCATTGGAGACTTTGTTGTTACTGTGTCTGGCATATCGAATACTCTCGGTAGATTGCCGGGCTCTCCTAGAGGAGCGGAGGAATCGAACTCGGGTCGGCCATGTTGGCCGCGTGTAAGGCGAACGCCCTACCGCTGTGCTATCGTTCCAGCCTGCACCAGAGTATCTCGCCCGCACGGCAGAGCCTAGCAAGCTCCCCGTGATGTATTCGATATGCCAAACACAGTAACAACAAAATCTCCAATGGAGACGTTACTGGGCCCGCTCGAGCAAATCGACGAACAACGGGAGGGCCTTTACCTTTTAGGGACTAGCGATATTTAGATATATGTATATATGTGTGTGTGTGTGTGTGTGTGTGTGTGTGTTATCACTGGCATCACTGTCATCCCAGTGGTCATTGAATTACTTGAGTGGGCACCAGTAACATCTCTATTCCTCCCAGCCCTGAGATTTTAGCAGCCTCTTCTTACTCGTCTTTTCCCAACGATTGGAGGCTCTTTCAGAGTCAGGGGAATGAGACCCATTGTTGTTACTGTATTTGGCATATCAAATACACTACTGGGAGCTTACCAGGTTCTGCCTGTGCGGGCGGGATGCTCTCGCTAGCTTACCAGGTTCTCCGAGAGGCATAAATGGGTAGGAAGTGTCTTATTATATACATATGTATATATATATATATATATATATATATATATATATAACGGTCATGGTCCTCTTGTTATTCATCGATTTGCTCAAGCAGGCCCAGTAACGTCTCCATCATGAGACTTGTTACTGTGTTTTGGCATACTGAATACGTCACGGGTAGCTTGCCAGGCTCTGCTGTGCGGGCAAGATATTCTCGGTAGCTTGCCGGGCTCTCCGAGAGGGGTGGAAGAATCAAACTCAGGTCGGCCATGTTGGCCACTTGTAAGGCAAATGCCCTACTGCTGTGCTATCTCTCCAGCCCAAGCCTGGCAAGCTACCCGTGGCGTATTTGATATGCCAAAAATAGTAACAATAATGGGTCTCATTCCCCTGACTCTGAGAGAGCCTCCAATATGGCAGTATTGGGAAAGACGAGTAAGGAGAGGCTGCCAAAATCTCAGGGCTGGGATGAATGGAGGTGTTACTGGCGCCTGCTCAAGTAAATCGATGAACAATGGAATGACAGCGATACAGTGATGGGGAAAGAGGAATATGATTTTAAGGCATGAATCTCACATCCTTGAACACATTCTTTGCAGATAGATATGTCATTCTGGGAGGACATCGAGATTCCTGGGTGTTTGGGGCCATTGACCCGACCAGTGGAACAGCGGCTTTGCATGAGATTGTCCAGAGCTTTGGAAAGCTGCTGAAAGGAGGTAGAAACAGCTTCTCTGGTGGAGGATCACAGAAGTGATGTGACTAGTTTCTTTATTGTGGGCTGTGTTATAATTGTATATTCACAATGGTTACAGGTTGGAGGCCTAGGAGGACCATCATTTTTGCCAGCTGGGATGCAGAGGAATTTGGACTTCTGGGTTCTACAGAATGGGCTGAGGTGAGTTCTGACAGAAGATGAACCTTCTCACCCAACAGTGGTCTGTGTGCTCCCAGGGACCACTGTCATTCCACCACCTAATGTAGTTTCAGTGTGGAGACAGACTCGGGAGAATTATTAAGAAATGTTTTTTCCTTTCACATTAACTTGGTCAAAAAAAATTACTGAACTACAAACAAAATTACTCATGATTTTCAAAAAGCAGTAGTTTCCATTTGTATTTGTTTTGTGGGGGAAAAAAAAAGCTCAGAAGATAATCAAAACTAGAAAGCAGTTTTTGACAAGTGACTAAACAAGTCAAGATACTCTTATAGCTATTTTTCAGGTACGCAATCCAAGAAAACTTAAGGTGCTCTGTTAAGATAATTGTACTATAATGCTGGATTCACGTGGACATATTCCACTTGCTGTTTTACTATTTTTGAGAGAGAGATGCTGATAAGTACTGTTCATGGGTCAGTGGAATTGTTTCAGTAAGAAAACCTGCCTTTACAACCTTAGAGATTGAGTTCATGGTGACTGGTCTTCCTGCACTGATCCTATGTCCCCAGTTATCCTCTCAGCTCCCTTTCCCTCTGTCTGGTGACTGAGGGGTGAGCACTCTGTACAGGTGAGCACCTACTTTCTTCCAGAGCAGCTGTGCCCAATCCTCTTTATGCACCAGCCTCTTCTGTAATTCCAGATTCCACAGAATGGTTGAAACACATCACATATTGTTTACTGTTGATTACCACTGTATCCAGCTTTTAGAATACCTTCCTCCTGTTGTTTTCCCTCTTGCTTTGCTTAAATTTTTTTATTTCCTTCTTTTTTTCATAAATTTTTTTAATTGCATCAAAGTGATATACACATTTACAAAGTTGTTCATGGTTGGATTTCAGTCACATAATATTCTAACACCCGTTCCTTCACCCTTCACCAGTATACTTTTCCCACCACCAGTGGTCCCAGTTTCCCTCCTGCCCACCCTGTTCCACCTCCTGCCACTATGGAAGGTACTTCTTCCCCCCCCCCGCCTCTCTCACTGTGAATCTGTTGTGGGAAGGATCCCAGGAGCCATGACTGTCTGGTCTGTTTGGGCACGTGCAGAGCAGAGGCCAATGGCCTCATTGTGCATGAGCTGCCTGGCCTTCAATGCTTCTCTCTGTGTTCGGAAAAGGCAGTGAGAGAGACGGAAGGGTCATCAGTGCGTGCCTCCCCTCCCTCCACTGTGACTGTGCTAATCTTCCTGCACTTCCTTTCATCTGTATGTGGGAGAGAGAACCTCATCTGTCCTGATTGTTATTTAAAAAGTATATTGACTTGGCTTTCCAATCTTGGTTGGTTTTAAACTTCAATCTTTTTAAAGATGGACAGGGATACTTTTTGAGGAGTCACAGTTTTCCTAGTCTTCCAGCAGATTTGAAGAATTACTCACATACTGAAGGCCGCAGGATTTGGGAACCTCACCAATTCATGTTTTTGCAGTGCACTGAGGAACTACACTTGGAAAACATTTTTTCCAAAGAGAGACAGCATCATTATATAATTTCTTTTTGTTTTAAAGACCTTCATATTATTTTGTAGGATACCACTGGTTTTTCCTTCTGGCATAGCCTCAGGCAGTCTAGGTTTATTGGGTTGCTCCCATCACAGTGCTCCCATTCCTCTGTGTTTTTTTTTGTAACTTCTTTCTTTGTGCTCTGTTGACTTGTAAATAGTGTTTTTCTCTTCTACTTAAGTCCTTTGCATAGTTTATTCAGGGCAATGTCCTTTTTGTATGGACACAAGAAGACAGTATATGCTATGCTTTTGTAATGTGACTCTCAAAGTTTCCTCCTGGGCATCTGTTCTCTCACCTAAGCCTCAGCTGCCCTTACTTCCTAGCGCCCCCAAAAGTAGGGTCCCAACGAGGGACTGGATGGAACCAGGGCAAGCAGTAAACTATGTGCTACCCTGACATTGAGATGGGCCTGCCCAAAGCGTCATAAGGCTTAACTATAAGTTAAGAGCTTGGTCATGACAAATGCTGTCATGGTCCAAAAAGTGATAACTAGATTTGGAACCTGCTAGGGTTTGGAATGATTAATCTGGCCTGAGCGCTGTAGTCTGAGTCTGTGGCAAGATGTTTCCAGGAAAGCTGCCCTACAAAGCCTCAATGGTATCTCTTACTGTGTCCATACAAAAATAACTAGTATTAAGATGTTGATAGTTATTGGACTGAGGAAAGGAGAAAAACACCTTAGGAGGTATTTTGCCTGGGGCAGTCAGAAAGGGCTTTGGAATACCTTTTGAACTTGGTGGGCCCTCAGGAAGGGCTTTCTTATGTTGATTTTGCTACCTGACTGGATGCAGTGTGGGCCTAGGGTGCTGGGGAGAGTTGGAGAGACAAGAGAGCTGGGGAGAGAGAGAGAGAGAGAGAGAGAGAGAGAGAGAGAGAGAGAGAGAGAGAGAGAGAGAGAGAGAGAGAGAGAGAGCGCTAGCGAGCGAGAGCGCAGAGCAGGGCAGCACGATGGACCGTAGAGAGGCTAGCAAGGGGGACAGAGAGAGAAGAATGTAGAATAATTCAGGAGCAGGCATGTAGAGAGAGAGAGAGCCCAGGCTGTGAGATGGAGCGGAGAGATGAGCGGGAGAGACAGGAGATGGGAATGAGGGAAGTGTGAGACTAGAATGGGAGGCTCAGAGAGACTGGGGCAGGAGCGTGGGGAAAATGGAATAAACGGCATCTGATCAATCAACCAGCTTGGCCCTCATTTTGTCCACCGTCTGCCCCATGGCCAGGGCTGCCCCAGCTGGGGGAGCAACCTGGGCATGGTCCGGGCCCACCCCGAATGCGGGCAGATAGGTGAAGAGCCATGGGGCCCCTCCCCCCCCCCCCCCCCCCCCCGCCACCCCTTGAGAGATTATACACTACTTGTCAGCCATTTTTAGTACTTTCTCAGAAATTGTGGTCATAGGCATAATTACTTGATTTATGAGGGTATTTGCAGTCTATTTTTATTAATTAAATTAATTTTCACTAAATTGAATTTATTTTGCTTATATTCATAGTTATAAATACTGTGAATTAAGTAGCAACTTTGCTTTATCCATAGGAGAATGCCAAAATACTCCAGGAGAGAAGCATTGCTTATATTAACTCAGATTCATCTATAGAAGGTAATTTTTATCCCTCTATTTTGGTGTTTAGGCCTTACTTGAAGATTCTCAGAGCTTACTCTCAGCTCTCTGCTTAGGAATAACTCCTGTCAGTCTCGGGGGAACATATGGGATGCTGTGCATTGAACTGGATTGGCTGCTTGCAGTTCAAGCACTCTACCTGCTGTACTATTTCTCCAGCCCCAGAGAAGAATGTAATTTTTATTTCAGACTATTATGAACAATATATGATCTTTTAGAGCCTGTGAATTAAAACTTATAAATTAAGACTATGCTCTTGGTGATATGCCCTCAACATACAGCAGAGAAAATTATGATTCAGGGGTAGAGTGATAGCACAGCAGGTAGGGCGTTTGCTTTGCATATGGCTGACCCGAGTTTGATTCCCAGCATCCCATATGGTACCCCAAGCACTGCCAGGAGTAATTCCTGAGTGTATGAGCCAGGAGTAACCCCTATGTAATGCCAGGTGTGACCCAAAAAGCAAAAAAAAAAAAGAAAATTATGATTTAAATGGGCTGGAGCGATAGCACAGCGGGTAGGGCGTTCGCCTTACAAGCGGCCAACATGGCCGACCCGAGTTTGATTCCTCCGCCCCTCTCGGAGAGCCCGGCAAGCTACCGAGAGTATTCGATATGCCAAACACAGTAACAACAAAGTCTCCAATGGAGACGTTACTGGGCCCGCTCGAGCAAATCGACGATCAACGGGAGGGCCTTTACCTAAAAAAAAAAGTATGATTTAAATAAATCAATATGGGCCAGAGTGATTACTCAGATAGCTGAGCACATGATCCCCTGACACAGAGCTGGGACCAAGCACTGCTGAGTATAGTGAAGAAATCAAAAAGAAAAGAAAGAAATTGATAGTATTCATGATTAAGTAACTGTTCCTTATTTAGTATATTACTGTCTGCCCGGGCTGGAGCCATAGCACAGCGGGTAGGGCATTTGCCTTGCTTGTGGCTGACCCTGGTTCAATTCCTCCACCCCTCTTGGAGAGCCCGGCAAGCTACTGAGAGTATCGCGCCTGCACGGCAGAGCCTGGCAAGCTACCCATGATGTATTCGATATGCCAAAAACAGTAACAAGAAGTCTCACAATAGAGACGTTACTGGTGCCCACTCGAGTAAATCAATGAACAATGGGAGGACAGTGCGATAGTGCTGCCATCTGCCTATCTTAAATTACTACTTGGTATGAACTCTAGTACCATCCATATTCTTTCTGCAGGAATACTAAAAATATTTCTTTCTTTCTTTTTTTTTTTTGTGGGTGGGTTTTGGACTACACCTTCTGGTACTCAGGACTGACTCCTAGTTCTGTGCTCAGAATCAGTCCTGGTGATGCTTGGAGGTCCATATGTGATATCAGGGATCAAAGCCAGGTTGGCCGTGTTTAAGACAAGCAGTCTACTTCATATACTATTGCTCTGGCTCTGAGATACTGATGTTTTGTTCAGTATCTAAATTGTAGTATCTAAAATATCTAAAACATTTCAGAAGAAAAGTGTAAAGAGAATTTTCGACAGATATTCCTCCTGTATGTTTCAGAACAAACATGAAGGAAGACTGCAGCCACCTTAGAGTCTGACCTATGGCTGCCGTGTCTCTGGCCTTTTTACTGACAATAATGGTGCCTAGGTGAATATTAGCATGGATTTGTTGGCTGCCGATGTGCTCAAGTCTGGCATTGACTGTTGTGGGGAATAAATCTAGTCCCTTTGCCACTTTATTTGCCAAAGTTCCAACTCAGGGTTCTGTGGCACCCACACAACCCTGTCCTGCACTGCCTAAGAACAGCTCTGACCCCCTCAGTTCCCTGCAGTCAGTGCTATTATGGGAAGTCCAGAAGTCCATTGTGCCTTGTTTGACCTTTTTTTTTTTAAATTAATTTTTTTTTATTAGTGAATCACTGTGATGTACAATTACAGACTTACAAACTTTCGTGCTTGCGTTTCAGTCATACAATGATCGAGTACCCATCCCTCCACCAGTGTCCATTCTCCACCACTAATGGTCCCAGCATGCCTCCCACTACCCCCACCCAATCCCCTCCACCCCACCCTGCCTCTGTGGTAGGGCATTCCCTTTTGCACTCTCTCCTTTTGGGTGTTGTGGTTTGCAACAGAGGTATTAAGTAGCCATCGTGTTCGGTCTATAGTCTACTTTCAGCCGGCATCTTTCACCCCAAGCGGGCCCTCCTGGCACCCTTTACTTGGTGGTCCCTTCTCTATCTTAGCTGCCTTTTCCCCTAGTATATGAAGCCGACTTCTAAGCTGTGGAGTAATCCTCCTGTAGACCTTTTTAAATTTTTTTCCCCTTTCTTTCTTTTTTTTCTCCAGTTTTTGGTCCTTACCCTTCAGTGCTTACTGGTTACTCCTGGCTCTGGGCTCAAGAATTACTTCTGGCAGTGCTAGGGGGACCTATGGGATGCCAGTAATCGAACCTGGGTCGGCTGCATGCAAGGCAAGCGCCTGCTCCATTACCTCTCCAGCTTCTGTTCATACATTTTCTAAAAGTCAGAATAAAGCACAAATTAGAAGGTTTTTTGTTTGTTTTGTGTCACACCTGGTGATTCTTGAGGCTTACTCATGCCTCTGTGTTCAGGGATCACTTCTGGCATTGCTTGGGGGAACATATGTGGTGCCCAGGATACAGTGGGTCAGACTTGTGCAAGATAAGTGCCCTACCAGCTATACTGTTTGTCTGGCCCCTGTAATGTTCTTTTAAAGTATGGAACAATGCTGTGTGCTTGATTTTTTTTCAGGTAACTATACTCTCAGAGTTGACTGCACACCCCTTCTCTATCAATTGGTTTATCAGCTGACGAAAGAGGTACATAAACCTGTCTTTACATTTTCTGCTGGATGGGTAAGGGAGTAATGTTTGTTTTCTTAATGGCATTCATTTTTGAAATGGTGACATGTGTCTTATTTGTATAAGTTAGAACGAGGTTGGTAATATACTATGTAATGAATATGAAGATAGTAATGTGAGTTTCTCTGTTTCAATATATATTATTTATTTATTTATGTATTTATTTTTGCTTTTTGGGTCGCACCTGGCGATGCTCAGGTGTTCCTCCTGGCTCTGCACTCAGGAATCACTCCTGGAGGTGCACCTGGGGGACCAGATGGGATGCTGGGAACTGAACCTGGGTTGGCCACGTGAAAGGCAAACACCCTACCTGCTGTGCTATCGCTCCAGCCCCAGTTATTTTAGTTGTTGTTGTTTTTTGTGCCTCATCTGGCGATATTCAGGGGCTACTCCCAGCTCTGTGCTCAGGAATCACTATTGGCAGTGATTGAGGATCATATGTGATGCTGGGCAGCAAACCTGGTCAGCTGCATGCAAAGCAAATACCCTACCCACTACACTATTGCTCTGGCCCTTTTAATAACTGCTAATAACTCTAGATTTTTTTAAATTTAGTGAATCATCATGAGATACAGTTACAGACTTACAAACTTTCGTGTTTATGTTTCATTCATACAATGATTAAGTATCCATCTCTCCATCAGTGCCCATTCTCCATCAACAGTTTCCCAGTATCCACCCCATTGCCCCCGCCCTGCTTCTGTGGCATGTGCATTCCTTTTTGCTCTTTCTCTCCTTTTGGGTGTTGTAGTTTGCAAGACAGGTATTAAGTGGCCATCTGTTCAGTTTCTAGTCTACTTTCAGCACGCATATCCCATCCCAAACAGGCTCTCCAAGCATCTTTTACTTGGTGGCCCCTTCTCTATCTGAGCTGCCCTGTCTCCCAGTATGTGTGCCCGGCTTCCAAGCCGTGGACCAATCCTGATCCTTATTTCTACTCTTCTAGGGTGTTACTTTCCCATTCTGTTACTTTATATTCCACAAATGAGTGAAGTCCTTCTATGTCTGTGCCTCTCCTTCTGACTCATTTCACTTAGCATGATACTCTCCATGTTGATCCACCTATAAGCAAATTTCATGACTTCATCTTTTCTGACAGCTGCATAGTATTCCATTGTATAGATTTACCAGAGTTCCTTTAACCAGTCATCTGTTCTCAGCACTTGGATTTTCTCCAGATTCTGGCTATTGTAAACAGTGCTTCAATGAACGTACAAGTGCAGATGCCACTTCAACTATACTTTTTTGCATCTCCGGGATATATTCCCAGAAGCGGTATTGCTGGGTCAAATGGGAGCTCAATTTATAATTTTTTGAATGCTTTTTTTGAAAAGTGTCCATACTGTTTTCCAAGAGGGCTGAACCAATTGGTATTCCCACCAGCAGTGAAGGAGGGTCCCTTTCTCTCCATATCCACACCAAGACCGGTTGCTTTTGTTATTTTGGATATGGGCCAGTCTCTGTGGGTTTGAGATGATATCTCATTGTTGGTTTGATCTGCATTTCCCTGTTGATTAGTAACGAAGAGCGTTTTTTTCATGTGCCTTTTGGCCATTCGGAATTTTTTTTTTTTTGAGAAAGTTTCTGTTCATTTCATTGCCCCATTTTCTGATGGAGTTGGATGTTTTCTTGTAGAGTTCCACCAGTGCCTTGTATATTCTTGATATTAACCCCTTATCAGATGGGTATTGGGCGAATATCCTTTCCCTTTATGGAGACTGTCTTTGTATTTTGGTCACTGTTTCTTTTGAGGTACAGAAGCTTCTTAGTTTAAGATAGTCCTATTAGTTTATCTCTGTTTCCACATGGTTGATCACTGGCGTGTCATTTTTGAAAATATCCTTAGCTTCAGTGTTGTGTAGGGTTCTGCCGACCTTTTCTTCAATGTACCTTATGAATTCTTGTCTGATGTTGAGATCTTTAACCCGTTTTTGATCTGATTTTTGTGCGTGGTGTTAGATAGTGGTCTGAGCCCATTTTTTTGCATGTAGCTGTCCAGTTTTGCCAGCACCATTTGTTAAAGAGGCTTTCCTTGATCCACTTCATATTTCTTGCTCCCTTATCAAAGATTAGATGATCATATATTTGAGGGTGTATGTAAGGATATTCCTCACTGTTCCATTGGTCTGAGGCTCTGCCTTTGTTCTAGTCCCATGCTGTTTTAATTATTACCACTTTGTAGTAGAGTTTAAGGTGATGTCTTCCATCTTCTTTTTCCCGAGAATTGCTTTAGGAGGGGTTGTTGTTCCATTTGAATTTCAGGAGCAATTGATTCATTTCTTTGAAGAATGTCATGGGTATCCTTATAGAGATCACATCGAATCTGTATAATGCTTTGGGGAGTATTGCCATTTTGACAATGTTAATCCTCCCAGTCCATGAGCAGGGAGATATGTTTCCATTTCCTCATGTCCTCTTTTATTTCTTGAAGTAGGATTTTGAAGTTTTCCTTGTACAGGTCCTTTACCTCCTTTAAATTAGTTAAACTGATTTCGAGGTCCTTGATTTTCTGAGGAATGATTGTGAATGGGATTGCTTTCTTCATGTCACTCCTTCTCTCTTATTATTTGCATATAGGAAAGCCATGGACTTTTGGATATTGATTTTATAGCCCGTGACTTTACTGTACAAGTCTATAGTTTCTAGGAGTTTCTTGGTAGAGGTTTTAGGGTTCTCTATATAGTATGATATCATCTATGAATAGTGAGAGCTTGATTTCTTCCTTTCTTATCTGGATGTCCTTAATATCTATTTTTTTTTGTCTAACCACTATGGCAAGTACTTCCAGTACTATAATGAACAGAAGTGGTGAGATTGGGCATCCTTGTCTCGTCCCTGATCTTAGAGGAGAGGCTTTCCCCATTGAGGATAATGCTTGCCATAGGTTTGTAGTAGATGGAAAGTTTCTTCAATATCCATTTTGGTGAGAGTTTACATCATAAACAGGTGCTGGATCTTGTGAAATGCTTTCTCTGTATCTATTGGTATGATTATATGGCTTTTGTCTTTTCTTTTGTTCATATGATGGATTATGTTGATTGATTTCCGGATGTTAAACCATCCTTACATCCCTGGGATGAATCCCATTTGGTCGTGCTCTATGATCTTTTTGATGAGTTGTTGTATTCTATTTGCTAATATTTTGCAAATATTCTATTTGCTACATATCTTCACATCCATGTTCATCAGGGATATTGGCCTGTAGTTTTCTCTCTTTTTTTTCTTTTTTTGTCATGTCTTTGTTTGCTTTTGGTACTAGGGAGATATGTGCCTCATAGAAACTGTTTGAGAGGGTTTCTGTTTCTTCAATTTCCTGGAAGAGCTTGAGAAGAATTGGCAATAGGTCCTTTTTAAATGTTTGGAAGAATTTGCTAGTGAATTCATCTGGACCTGTGCTTTAGTATTTGGGAAGATTTTTGAATTACAGTTTCAATTTCCTTGATAGTAATAGGTCTATTCAGGTAATCCAAATCTTTTGGTTCAGCCTTGGGAGAGTATGGGAATTCCAGAATTTATCCATTTCTTCTAGATTCTCTTGTTTTGTGGCATACAGACTTTCAAAGTAGTCTCTGATGATATTTTGAATTTCTTTGGTTTCTGTTGTGTTGTCCCCCTTTTCATTTCTGATTCAGTTTATTAGGGTTCTCTCTCTCTCTTTCTTTGTGAATCTTTCTAGTGGTTTATCAATATTGTTTATATTCTCAAAGAACCAGCTCTTGGTTTCATTCATTTTTTTGGATTTTTTTTTTGGGGTTTCCAAGTCGTTAACTTCTGCTCTAAGTTTTGTTGTTTCTTTCCTTCTGCCTCGTTTGGGCTTCTTTTGTTGGTCCTTTTCTAAGTTCTTGAGCTGTCAAGTCAAGTTATCTCTGTGGCCTTTTTCTTTTTTCCTGAGGAATGCTTGCAGGGGTTTACATTTTCCCCTTAACAGGCTTTAGCTCTGTCCCACAGGTTCTGGAAGCTCATGTCTTGATTCTCATTTGTTTCGAGGTATATTTTGATTTTTTCCTTGATTTCCTCCCTGACCCACTCATTGTTCAACATTGAGTTGTTTAAATTTCAGGTGTTTGATTTGGTTCTGTGTCTGTGCATGATTAACTTCTATCTTCAGTGCATCATAGTCTGAAAAGATAGTTGATGCAATTTCTGTCTTCCTGGTTCTATTGAGGTATGGTTTTGTGGCCCAGAATGTGGTCTATTTTGGAAAATGTTCCATGTGCACTGGAAAAGAATGTGTATTCTCTTTTGGGGGAATATAGATCTTTTAGCCCTCTGTTCTATTTCTTTCTTCAAAGTCAGTGTTTCCTTTCTGAGTTTTACTCTTGTTGATCTATCCAGAGGTGATAAGGCGGTGTTGAAGTCTCCAACTAGTACTAGTGTTGCTCCCAATGTCCTCCTTAAAATCTATTATCAGTTGTTTTGAGTATTTAGATAGTCCTTCGTAGGGTGTGTATATGTTTAGGAGTGTGATTTATTCCTGCTGTACATATCCCTTGATTATTAAAAATGGCCTTCACTATCCCTTCTAATCTTTATCAACCTGAAATCTATTTTTTTGGATACTAGTTTGGCCACCCCCGCTTTTTTTAGGGAGTTGTTTGCTTGCAGGATTGTTTTCCATCCTTTGACTTTGAGTCTGTGTTTGCTCTGACTGTTCAGATGTGTTTCTTGTAGGTAGCAGAATGTTGTGTTCAGTTTCTGAATCCATTTGCCTCTCTGTGTCTTGATTGGTGCAGTTAGAGAGATTATTGTCATGGGGTTTTGTGCTATCTTTCTGTAGAGGTTTGTTGTGGTTGTAATGGTTTTTTTTTTTTGTCTTACAGTAGTTCCTTTATTCCTTCTTTTAAGGTTGGTTTTGAGTCTATGAAGTTCCCGAGTTGTTGTTTATCCATGAAATAGTGTATTATTCCTTCAAGTTTGAATGAGAGTTTAGTCGGATAAAGTGTTCTTGGTGAGGCGTTCATTTCATTGAATTTTTTCACTATATCTCACCATTTTTCTTTGGGCTTGGAGGGTTTCCTCTGATAAATCTGCTGTAAATCTAAGGGGTGCTCCTTTGTATATAATTTTCTTCTTTTACCTTGATGCTTGCAATATTGTGTCTCTATCTGTAACATTCATCATTTTAAGTATGATATGTCTTAGAGTCTTTTTATTAGGGTCTCTCTTGGCTGGCACCCTTCAGGCTCCTTAGATCTGGATGCCTGCATTCTTCAGCTCTGGGAACTTCCCAGCAATGATAGCTTTAACTGTAGTTTTTTCATTGGAGTTTCCTCCCTTCCTTCTGGCACTCCGATTATTTTTATGTTGTTCCTCTTGGATTCATCCACTAGGTCTCTGATTCGCCCAAGAGCCCCCCTACCCTTTTTTTGTGGTTTTTGGGTTACACGCGGTGATGCACAGGGGTTATTACTCCTGTCTCATACACTTAGGAATTACTCCTGGCGGTGCTCGGGGGACCATATGGGATGTGGGAATCGAATCCTGGTTCGCTGCGTGCAAGGCAAATGCCCTACCCACTATGCTATCGCTCCAGTTTCCCCCCCACCCCCAGCTCTTTTGATGTTTTTCCCCCCCATTGTTTGTTGTTGCCTGTAAGCTTTCTGCAGCTCATATTCAGGGTCACTGATTCTGTCTTTGACTGTAGTTGTTCTACTGTTGAGGGCACCCACTGAGTTCTTTATTTCATCTACTGAATCCTTTATTCATGACACTTCTGTTTGTAGCTTTCTTATTTATGCTCTCATTTCTTCCTGTATTTTGTTGGCTGTCTGTTCCACTGTTTCTTTCATGTCCTCCCTTAATTTACTGGATGTCTGTTCCACCGTTTCTTTGAGTTCAGTGAACATCTTCAACATTTCATCTCTTAATTCTTTATTGGAGAGATTGTATTTGTGGGTAAGCATGGTTGAGGCTTCTGAACTCTTTTCTTCATCTTTTCATGGTAGGGATTTTTGCCGTTTCTTCATGTTTTTTTTTTGATAGTATGGAATGGGACCTAAATAACTGCAGCTGCCCTCTCCAGAGGCCACGCCCACTGCTGCAGAGGCCACGCTCGCTCACTACCACAGAGGCATTCCTTTACCGCTGAGGCCATGCCCCTTGCAGCACTGTAGGTCCCAGGGATGCTAGGAGGTGCTGCTTTCAGAGTTCTGGGTTGGGGTGTGCGCGGGGAACGTGGCGCAGGCCAGATATCTGCAAACCAGATGGAGGGCACCGGTGGCGCTGAAAGCGCACTTTTGGCCTGCACCTTGTTGCTGGGAGGTGCTGCTGTCTAACTATATAGATTATTATGATGTGTGATGTGTTTAGGGTTTATATTTTTATCTGAAAGAGGCTTTTTTGCCCTTTTGGGTCATACCTGGTGATGCTCAGGGCATACTACTCGCTCTGCACTTTATTTAAATTTACTTCTTAACAATATTTCTAGTCATTTTGTATAAACACAGTAACAGACATAGACTTTTATCTATACCCTAGATTAAGTTTAAAATAGTCTCTCTGAACTCATAGTAAAGGATGGCTTTTCCTGGGTACATCTTGCTTTATTTCCCAGACTACAATCCTCAGGCCAGGTTAGTTTTTCCTAACTCCAACAGGGTCCTAATTCAGTTACTTCTTTTTGGGTCATGTTAGAGTTTGTTCCATACTGTATTCTGAGCCTATTATAATTCTTATGGTGCTTAGGCTGTCCTATGTCCCCATATTGAAGCAAGGGTAGCTTATGACTTGCCCTGGGACCATCAGAGTCCCTTGGCGGGACCCACATTTTGGGGTGTAAGAAACTAAGGTCAATCTAAGGGCAACTGAGGTCTAAGTCAAGTAAATATGATGGATACCCAGGAGTAAATATTATTCAGTCAGTTAATTCCCATATTATAAAAGCATAGCAATAACTGTCTTCCTGTGTCTATACAAAAAGGACATTGCTCTAAAATAAAAATATACAAAGGGCATAAAGGAATAAGAAAAACAATATTTCACTTACATATACAAAATCCAGAGCCTTTGTAAAGTGTGACTTTATTTACTGTGTCTGATTTGAAATTTTTTTTTTTTTTTTTTTTTTTTTTTGCTTTTTGGTTCACATTCAGTGATGCTCAGGGGTTACTCCTAACTCTGCATTTAGGAATTACTCCTGGTGGTGCTGGGGGACCATATGGAATGCTGGGATCGAACCCTGGTCTGCTGGTCTGCCGGTGCAAGGCAAACACCCTACCCACTCTACTATCGCTCTGGCCCAGATTTGGAGATATTTCTGACTAATAGATAGGGGAAGAAGAACACAAAGGAAAGGTTAAAGATAAACAGGATTGGGATTGATGAGATAGGGTGTGTTCTCAGGAGCACTGTAGTGGTTGTAATTTAGTTAACTCAAACACTCTGTGGGAGGAGGAAGGACAACCCAATGTTAAGCCTAAAACGTTTGGAACTGTGTAATCTAACATGTATACATTTAATTAGAACTAGAAGCTGAAGTCAGCTCACCAAGTTTCTACAGGCATAGATTTTGTTGCTTCTATCCCTTCCAACTCCTTGGCATTTGATTTTTTTTTTCCAGATTGCTAGCCCTGATGACGGCTTTGAGAATAAATCTCTTTATGAAAGCTGGTTGGAAAAGGACCCTTCATTGGAAAATGAAAATCTCCCTAGGTAAGTCACTGTACTTATGTTTCACACTTGGAGGATGAATTTTTAATCCTATTTGCCCCTGTTTCTCTGGATATAGTTCTTAGATGATTTACCAATTTAAGAAGAACAAGGTAGTCAAGATCTTCTGCTGATCAGTCAGAATAAACGGGTTTACTAGCCTGTAAGAGAGGGAGCAGATCTGCAAAATTTTAGTTATTTTGCCACAATACGTTATTGATTTTTTTGTTTGTTTTTACTTTTTGGGTCACACCCAGTGATCCTGAGGGGTTACTCCTGGCTCTGCACTCAGGAATTACTCCTCGCGGTGCTTGGGGGACCTTATGGGATGCTGAGGATCGAACCCAGGTCGACCGGGTGCAAAGCAAATGTCCTACCCGGTGTGTTGTTGCTCCGGCCCCAACCACAATATGTTATTGAAAAGAATTCATTCATTAGTACTTAATAAGAAAACAAATGGTAATGACATAAAGTTAAATATATTATTTACTGCTAAGTTATTAAGGGGCATTATCAAGCAGCTATAATTATGTCTTGTAGACTTTATATAACTGTTCTTTTCATTTGGCAACAGCTTTCTTGAATTTACCTTTTTTTTCTATTTTGCCACTGTTTTTGAAACCAGCAAATGATGATAATGTTTATAGCTTCATTTCATGTTTCAGATAAATTGTGAAAATTTAAAGGTTTCCATTACAAAAGTTATTGTGCATATTTAAAAATATCAGAGTGGGGCCAAAGAGATAGTGCAGTGGGTAGCGTGCTTTGCCTTGCATGCATCTGACCTGGATTCAGTCCCGGCATCCAAATAGTCCCCTGAGTATCACCAGGAGTAATTCTTGAGTGCAGAGCCAGGAGTAACCCCTGAGCGTTGCCAGGTGTGACCCCCAAATCAACAACCAAGCCCAAAACCAAACCCAGACAAACCAAAAAAAAGCCCCCCAAAATTTTGTAGTTTATAAGTATGTATTTTCTTTCTTTCTTTCTTTCTTTCTTTCTTTCTTTCTTTCTTTCTTTCTTTCTTTCTCTCTCTCTCTCTCTCTCTTTCTCTCTTTCTCTCTTTCTCTTGCTTGCTTGCTTTTGGGCCACACCTAGTATTGCTCAGGGTTTACTCTTGGTGCTGGGGATTGAACCTGATACAGTTGTGTGCAAGGCAAGCATCTTACCCTCTGTGCTATCTCTCTTAGCCCCTGTTGACAGTGTCTTAATTATATGGAAATAAATATGTTGTAATGGGCCAGGGAAATAACTCAATGATTTAATCATATCCTTTGCATGAAGGAGGCCCGGGTTCAATCCCTAGCACTGCGTGTTTCCCGAGCACTACTAGAGTGACCCTGAGCACAGAGCAGAGAGTAGCCTCCAAGTAATGCCAGATGTGGCCCAAAATTAAATACAACAATACAAAATGAATCAAATGGAATATCACAATTGAATTTATTCCTGAAATGAAATAAGACGCATTTAGAGGCTGGAGAGATTACAGAGGTATTAATGCACTTGCTTTTGCATGCAGTCAATTCTGGTTTGTTACCAGGCAACACAAGGTACCCCAAGCACTTCCAGGAGTGAATCCTGAGAACAGAGTCAGGAGTAACCCTTGAGTACTGGCAGTGAGGCCCCCCTCAAATAAGGCACATTTAGATTCATTGTTATATAGTCACTCAGGGGCCATGAGTTCTTAGTTGTATTTCCTGCCAAACAAATACATAAGTGCTGATGACAAGAGAGTCAGCCCCTGTACTCAGCTGTTGTCTTGGTGCACTGCCTTGGCGTATAGCAGTTGAAGGGAATGTGTCTTTGGATTCATTTCCCCAGTTCCAAAACTGGCATGCAATTTCTTGATACTCTTGCATTGGGACTCTTAATCCCATTGACATCTTTTCATTTGTTTATGCATTTATTTCTCCATTCTATACAGAATAAACAAACTGGGATCTGGGAGTGATTTTGAAGCTTATTTTCAGAGACTTGGAATTGCTTCCGGCCGAGCCCGCTACACTAAGAACCGGGTAAGAACTTCACTTCTTGGTAGGCCACATTCTTCTTATCAGAGTCACTAGAGGACATGTGGGGGACTAGGGAGGAATATTCACAAAGGTTATTTGTGAATATTAATTGCTTTGCTTACTGCCAGGATAGCTGACAGAGCAAAGCCAGCTGCTTAGCTGCTTATCAGCAATAGGTAGTTCTCATCCTTTGCCTGATGTGGGTTTGTTTGAAATCTCTTTCTTCTAGATTTGTAGACACTAGTATAATTTTTTGTTTGTTTGTTTTTGAGCCCACTCAGCAGTGCTCAGGGCTTAGTCCTGGCTCTACACCCAGAAATTGCTCCTATTAGGCTTGGGGGACTATATGGGATTGAACCTGGGCCAGCCACATATAAGGCAAGTGCCCTACCTGCTGTGTTATCTTTCTAGCCCTTCTGATGTACTTTTCTTCTTGGTTAGGCTAAGATCCTTGGTCTGTAACCCCTCTTCACATCCCCATTTGTGCCTGCCTCCTATTCTGGGGCCTGGGGTGAGGTTGGAACTTGTTTTTCTTACTTTTTGGGGGGAGGGGCATACTTGGTAGCGCTCAGAGATTACTCCTGGCTCTCTGCTCAGGTATCACTCCTGGTTGGCTTGGGGGAACCACATGAATGCAAGGGATTGAACCTAGGTTCCCTGCGTGCAAGCAACTCCCTACCTGCTGGATTATTGCTCAGATCCTATTTTTGTTTATCTTATTCTTCTTTCTGTTCTGCAGTGACTAGTTTGCACCATTGTCATTCAAGTGATATGCAAGAACTTGGATATGTCGAAACAAACTATTTTTTAAATTATGTCATGAACCAAACTGAAAATTATATCAGTGAATTCAGTCTTTTCAGGTTTTAATAATGTTTACTCATAAATGAATATAACAACATATTGTCAGGATACATATACCTTACAGATTGACTCTGCAGAGTACAACTCACAAAGAAGTGAGTATAATAGCTCCAGAACAACCCAGAATACAGGTATCAGTCTCTGCAGAGACTCATTCGACTTAAGACATGAAAGAGACACCTTACCATTTGCAAGAATGCCTCAGTTTCATGCCATCATCAGCTTGAAGAATTTGTTTCTGGTTTTTAACACAGTGAAACATAGAGAATTAGATATAAAAGAAGATAATAAGGGTACCTTTATGGGTAATATGTAAAGTGGTAATAATAATACCTTGTAGCAAAGTAACAAACAAGTAAAAGCTAAATTTAGGATATTTTTAGAAGACCTAAGAAGTAAAATAAACATTTATATGAAGATATATGGAGATATATCAATGGTCAGGGATGCACATGTCAGTACCCATGTTCAAACCTTGGTAGCTCACATCTTTCCACTCAAGCACTATCAGCTGTGGCCCTGGTGATCTCTAGTACTGCAGAGCCCAAGCAGCTCTGCACAACTTTGGGCCAAGCAAAGAACAGCCAAGCCTTATTGACTTCATATTGCTGGGAGAGACCCCCAGGTACCCTGAGCATTGGTACTGCTTGGAAGTTTCCCTCCCCCCCCAAAAAAATTCGTGTGTGTGTGTGTGTGTGTGTGTGTGTGTGTGTGTATGTTTCTGTATTCTTGTGTACTACCAGTATGGAATAATTTGTTTATAATAGTAGCCCTTACATATATAATCAAGATTAAATGGCATTTAGTTAAATACTGGGAAGAAAGGAAAGTATTTAACTTTATTATTGTGTTATTGGTCACAACTGGCGATGTTCAGGGGTTGCCCCTGGATCTTTACTCAGGAATTACCCCTGGTGGTGCTTGGGGGGGTCATATGGGATGCCAGGGATCAAGTCCAGGTTGGCCACATTCAGGAGAAGCACTTTACCAATGTATTATCTTTCCAGCCTCAAGGAAGCTAAATGTTTAAATGTATAATACTGCTACAGAGATACTTGGACCAGAGTATTTCACTCTTAATCCTTTAATGATCTGAGGCTGGGGCTGCACTGATAATACAGCTGGCAGGGTGTCTGCTGTGCACAGGGTCAACCTGGACTCCATCTTCAGCACCACATATGATCCCTTGAGTCTGTCAGGAGTGAACCCTAAATGCAGAGCCAGGAATAATACCTAAGTACTGCTGGGCATGACCCCCAAACTAATAAAAACTAAATAAAAAATTAAAAATCAGGGAGCATTTTGTGTTTTTGTCAAATTTTACCCTTTATTTGGTTCATTGTGATAAAACTCTGCCATATATTTTAATTTTTGCAGTATTTTTGTTATATAAAGTATTATAATTTGAATATTTAATGTTTGTCTGTACTTGACCCCTATTCTCTCTCTCCCCCCCCTTTTTTTTAGAAAGCAGATAAATACAGCAGCTACCCAGTATATCATACAGTCTATGAAACATTTGAATTGGTAGAGAATTTTTATGACCCCACATTTAAAAAACAGCTTTCTGTTGCTCAGTTACGAGGAACATTGGTTTATGAACTTGCAGACTCTAAAATAATTCCTTTCAATATTCAAGACTATGCAAAAGCTTTGAAAAACTATGCTACAAGTATCAGCAACTTATCCAAGAAACATGAGCAGCAATTGAGAGACCATGGAGTATCATTTGGTAAGAATTGTCTTGACAGTTAAAATTGGTAAGTTAGGACTTTAAGATGTAATTGCCCACCATCATCAGTATATACTGCTATATTCTAGAATTCATTCTTGCCTAAATAAGTGATTATGACACCCAGAACAACACTTTAAAGAACCTGTTGAGGACTGGATCTTGTTTTGTCTGCTGGAGACCTTCGTTTGATCTCTGGCACCACATGATTCCCATAAGCACTTCTGGAAGCCAATCCTGAATACAAGAGCTAGAAGAAACTTCTAAGCACAACTGGGTGTCATAAAAAATGAAAATGATAAGTAAATATATACTTTAAAAGACACCTATTAAAAAGACTTGGCGGGGGGTAGGGAGGCAAAGCAATGGTACAGTGGATAGGGCACTTGTCTTGCATGTGGCTGACCTGGGTTGATCCCCAGCATCCAATATGATTCCCTGAGCACTGACAGGAGTAATTCCTGAGTGCAGAGAGGCAGGAGTAAGTTCTGAGTATTTCTGGGTGTGGCCCCCAAACCAAAACCAAACCAAAACAAAGGCCTAAATAAAATAAACCAAAACAAAAAAAACAGACAAAAAAGAAGCAGTAAAATAAAATAAAGAGACTTTAGGGCTGGAAGGTAGCTAGTGCATGCTATGTATGGAGGCAGGATTTTTTAATTTTTTTTTTTTTATTTTTAAATGAATCACCATGAGATACAGTTGCAGACTTACAAACTTCCATGCTCACATTTCAGTCATTCAATGATCGAGTACCCATCCCTCCACCAGTGCCCATTCTCCACCACCAGTGATCTCAGTATCCCTCCCACCACCCCACCCTATGCCCCCCCCACCCCGCCTGTGGCAGGACTTTCACTCTCTCCTTTTGGGTGTTGTGATTTGCAATATAGGTATTGAGTGGCCGTCGTATTCGGTCTATGGTCTACTTTCAGCTTGCATCTCTCATCCCAAGCTGGCCCTCCAAGCACCCTTTACTTGATGGTCCTTTCTCTATCTGAGCTGCCTTTCCCCCATCATGTGAGGCTGGCTTCCAAGCCCTGGAGCAATCCTCCTGGTACATATTTCAACTATTCTTGGGTGTAAGTCTCACATTCTGTTACTTTATATTCCACAAATGAGTGCAATTTTTTTTTTTGCTTTTTGGTCACACCCAGCAATGCTCAGGGGTTATTCCTGGCTCTACACTCAGGAGTTACTCCTTGTGATGCTTGGGGGACCATATGGGATGTCGGGGATTGAACCAGGGTCGGCCGCGTGCAAGGCAAACACTCTACATGCTGTATTATCGCTTCGGCCCCAAGTGCAATTTTTATATATCTGTCCCTCTCTTTCTGACTCATTTCACTTAACATGATACTATCCAAGATGACCCATTCATATGCAAATTTCATGACTTTATCCTTTCTGGCAGTTGCATAGTATTTCATTGTGTAGATGTACCAAAGTTTCTTAAACCGGTCATCTGTTCTTGAGTACAAAAAAAATCTGTTTTTTTCCAGATTCTGACTATTGTACACAATGCTGCAATGAACATACAAGTGCAGATATCATTTCTACTGTGCTTTTTGCGCCCTCGGGATATATTCCCAGAAATGGCATTACTGAATTTCTAATTCTAAGAAGGAATTAAGGGAGCTCAATTTCTAATTTTTTGAGAAGCATCCATACTGTTTTCCAAAAGGGCTGAACCAGTTGGCATTCCCACCAGCAGTGAAGGAGGGTCCCTTTCTCCCCACATCCTCGCCAATGCCAGTTGCATTCTGGTCACGGTATCTTTTGAGGTGTGGAAGCTTCTTAGTTTAAGATAGTCCCATTTATTTATCTCTGTTTCCACTTGTTTGGTCAGTGGCATGTCATCTTTGAAGATACCTTTAGTTTCAATGTCATGGATAGTTTTACCAGCCTTTTGTTCAGAATACCTTATGGGTTCTGTTCTGATGTTGAGTAATCCATTTTGATCTGACTTTTGTGCATAGCATTAGGTAGAGGTCTGAGCCCATTTTTTGCATGTAGCTGCCCAGTTTTGCCAGCACCATTTGTTAAAGAGGCTTCCTTGCTCCACTTCACATTTCTTGCTCCCTTATCAAAGATTAGATGATCATATATTTGAGGATGTATGTAAGAGCATTCTACCCTGTTACATTGGTCTGCAACTCTGCCTTTGTTCCAGTACCATACTGTTTTAATTATTATCACTTTGTAGTAGAGTTTAAGGTTGGGGAAGGTGAAGCCTCCCATCTTCTTTTCCCCAAGAATTGCTTTAGCTATTCATGGGGGTTTGTTGTTCCATATGAATTTCAGGAGTGTTTGATCCATTTCTTTGAAGAATGTGATGGGTATCCTTATTAGGGATTGCATTTCATCTGTATAATGCTTTGAGGAGTATTGTCATTTTGACAATGTTAATTATCCCAGTCCATGAGCAGGGGGATATGTTTCCATTTCCTCATGTCCTCTTTTATATCGTGAAGTAGCGTTTTGTAGTTTTCTTTGTACAGGTCCTTCACTTCCTTAGTTAAGCTGATTCTGAGGTACTTGATTTTCTGAGGCATGATTGTGAACAGGATTGATTTTTTTTCATGTCACTTTCCTCTCTTTCATTATTCGTGCATAGGAAAACCATGGACTTTTGGGTATTGATTTTATAGCCTGCAACTTTACTGTACAAGTCTATAGTTTCTAGAAGTTTCTTGGTAGAGTCTTTAGAGTTCTCTAAATATAGTATCATGTCATCTGCAAATAGTGAGAGATTGATTTCTTCCTTTCCTATCTGGATGCCCTTTATATCTTTTTCTTGCCCAGCCTCTATGAGGCAGGGTATTTAAAAATTTTTTTCCCTAACTTTATTTAAACACCATGGTTTACAAAGTTTCTCATAGTACAGTTGTTTCAGACCTTCACTGTTCCAGCACCAATCCCACCACCAGTGTGACCTTCCTGATGGATTTGATCCCCAGCACCCTGTGGTTTCTTGGGCACTGCCAGGAGCAACCCTAAACCATCCCTCCCCACAAAAAGGAAAGAAATGAAAATTAACAGCAAATTGTGTAATATTTAAAGGATGAAACAATTTTTGTTAAAGTTGGTTATATAAGCTTTAATTTTTTTCTTTTTTTTTCAGTTTAACTTCACAATTATCAGGACTTTCTTCTGACTTTGCAATCAGGGATCATTTCTGGCAGTTTTGGGGACCTGGATCAGCTGTATTCATGGCAAACACCCAACCCATTGTACTGTTGTTTTGGCCCCTTTAAAATGCTTTAATTGTTAGGGGCTGGAGGGATAGTCCATTCTCCTAGGGACTTAATTTGACACACTAATCCCTTTCACCTTTTAAAACTCTCCATCTCAATTGCTGCCTCTCCATCAGCTTTAAACAAGTTCACATCTTCTTCTGCCTGATATGCCCTAAACAAATAAACATCTCTTCTGCCTGATATGCCCTAGTTCCTTCACAATCAAACTTCATTTATTTCTAGAAAAAAATGCAGTTCTCTCAGGAAAAAAATTTATAGGTGTGATCCCCAGGGCTTGGTGCTCCTCAGGAATTTTTGGGGTCACACTCAGCATTGCTTAGGACTTACTCCTGGCTCTGTGCTCAAGGATCACATCTGTCAGTCTTGGGGGACCTTGTGGGGTCCTAGGGATTGAACTCAAGTCTGTTGCATGCAAGACAAGCCCTCTACCAGTGTTACTATTGCTCTGGCCCCAAGAAATGTTTTTATGAAGGTATGGTGGGTGGGTGGAGGACTGGGTAGTTAGTACCATCTGTCCCAGACTTCACATTCCACTGCCTGCCTTAAGTCCTGCTATTCTTGCCCTGTGACACATTTTGGTTCTTACCTATTTTGACTTATGTGCATACTTGAAAATGTGCTTCTTGTTTATTTGTGGATTTTTGTCACAACCATCAATGCTGGAGCTACTCCCAATTCTTTGCCTGGGGTTTGCTCCTGGAAGTGCCAGAGAAGCACCTGAGACTTCTGAAGGCAAGGCACTCGGTTCAGCCATCTCCTCCCTGCATGCACGGCACTCAATTCAGCTCTCTTTCCTGCCATAGAAAAAATAGGACTTGTTCTCAGCTCTCATAATATCAGAATTTTTGTTTGTAAGTTGTTTTAAAAATGCAGCAATAATTTAAGTGTAAGTTTACTCTGTACTGACTTGCTAACTCTGTGCCCAGTGTCTAGAGGTATAAGTGCTTTATCACTTATGTAAATATGATGAATATCATATCCCCTTATCACAGCATTAATACAAGAATAAAATCAAGAGGCTGGAACGATAGCACAGTGGGTAGTGCGTTTGCCTTGCATGCAGCCAACCCGGGTTCAATTCCCAGCATCTCATATGGTCCCCCAAGCACTGCCAGGAGTAATTCCTGAGTGCAGAGCCAGGAGTAACTCCTGTGCATTGTTGGGTGTGACCCAAAAAGCAAAGAATAAAATCAAGAAAGATTGTAACAAAAATATATAGAAAAAACTAACAACTTTTCTTAAGAACTGTGAAGTTTGGTGCTGAAGCAATAGTAAAGCAGCAGGGAACTTGTGTTGCATGAAGTAGAGTAGGGTTTGATTTCTGGAATCCTACATGGTCTCCCAAGCCTGCCAGGAGTGATCCCTGAGTACAGAGCCAGGATTAAGCCCTAAGCACTCCTAACTGTGACCCCAAAACAAAACAACCTCCACAATGTCAAACTTTGTAAAGTTTGGCCAAATCAGATCCTAATCTCTTTCTCTAGATATATCAGTTGGTCACAGGTTGCCTTTATGATCATCAAGTAAAGATCACATATTCTTTTTATTTATTATTATATTCTATGTCACACGCATTGATGCTCAGAGTTACTCCTGGCTATGCACTCAGGAATTACTCCTAGCGGTGCTTGGGAGGGCCATGTGAGATCCTAGGGATTGAACCAAGGTTGACTGTGTGCAAGGCAAACGCCCTGCCTATTGTACTATCACTCTGACTCTGATCATAAATTCTTAAGAACAGGGATCAAGCTTTAAAAATTCCATCATAATTTGAGGAGCATAACTGCTATATCTGTTTCCAGTGTATCGCTTATGATTATCCTGATAAATACCTCTGATTGCATGAAAAATTCTGGGTTTCTTTACTGCTTATGTCCCAAACTCTTGAAAATTATTTCCTGGGTCTTAAGCAATAGTATAGTAGATTAGGGCATTTGTCTTGTACATGACTGACCCAGATCGATCCTCCAACACCATATATGGTCCCTGGCACCACCAAGAGTGATCCCCAAGTGTAGAGTCAGGAGTAACTTCACTGGGTATGACTCAAAAACAAAAATTAAAAATTATTTTCTTAATTTAGATGTTTTCTATTTAACACAATACTTATTTGTTCTCATTTTCTGTGGGTCTGCAAAGTGGCAGATGGGGATGCTTCATATTTCTGTTCTGCTTAGTCTGTTCTGGAACAGGGAGGGCAGGAAGGGAATCTCTGAGCTATGAAGGCTGTGTTGATAACTTCATCTTCTGCTTTTTCCATTTTAAAAAAAGATTCCTTGTTTTCGGCTGTGAAAAACTTCTCAGAAGCTGCCTCTGATTTTCATAGAAGACTTATGCAAGTTGATCTTAATAAGTAAGTATCAAATATAAGCTGAATTGTTTGGAAAGCTATTCAATTACTAGAATGGGCTATGTGTAGTCACATGAGTATTCAACTCTAAATCATTGCTCCTTCAATTATCAACTGCAAGCTAGCATCGAGTAGTATTGTCAGAAGGACACTGTCCAGCAGAACTTCCTTAATACTTGAACGAGAATCTGGATGGTTTGTCTGCATAGTCAAGTTTGAGAAGGATGAATCTCATTAGGACATTAAAAAGAAAACAATCCATATCAGAGTCCAAGAGGCATCTCTTGAAAAATCTACATGCTAAGATTTCTGACTTTAGCTAGTACCTTAGAGCTCTATAGATTTAAGTGCATTTGTAGTGTATTTCACTACACCCCCATTGCTGATATTATCTGTTTAAAAGTCTTTCTTCTGTTGTATGCATTCCATTTACTCTGTTGCCACTTTTATATTGAACAGTAATTAAAAAGTTATACACAGGGGCCTAGGAAATAGCTCAAGTGATGGGGCACCTGTCCCCTAGCATTGCCATGTGGTCTGTTGACCCCTGATGTTTCCTTGCTAAGGACCAAATTTTCAGGCTTGAATTGACAGAAGTCCCTCACTCTCTTCCCCCTCCTGCTGTCTGTAGCTTCTCTTTAAAAAGTTTTTCAAGACACTGACCCACAATTCAGTTCAGATCACATTTATTTTTTCAGGTTCCATCAGTTTAAGCATTCTCCTTACCACACTGAAAGAAAATTGTGCCATTTTGTTGTTCTTGTTTTGTTTTTAGTACTGGGGATTAAGTCTTAAATCTCATGTATACAAGGCATGAACTTTACTGTTGAAAAGTCATTTTTAGGGGTAGGCCCTTTTCTCCCTGGCCTTGTAAGAAATCCAGGAAACTTATCTAGCACCTCACACAGACTTGTGGTAGCTTATAATGCACACAAAAGTTTCAGCTCATGCAGCAGCCTCCCATTCTTTTTTATTTTGTTTTGTTTTGTTTTTGGGCCACATACAGTGGTGCTCAGGGTTTACTCCAGGCTCTGCACCCAGGGATCAGTCCTGGTAGGCTTGGGGGTCTATATGGGGTTCCACAAATCAAACCTGGGTCTGTTGTGTGCAAAAAACTGCTCTACCCTCTTTCTCTCTGGACCTGCCTCCTGCCTTTCTTTCAGATCCTGTAGTTTATTCTCATTCTTTATGATCCAGCTTTTATTCTGCCTTTTCATCCTCAGACCAACCAAACGGCTTATTGACAACTTTTTAAAATTGAATCACCATGAGATATATTATAGATAAAAAGTTGTTCATGATCAAGTCTCAGTCATACAATGTTCCAACACCCATTCCTTCACCAGTACACATTTCCCTCCACCAATGTCACTAGTTTCCCTCCCACGGGCCTTTCCCCACCCCACATCCACAGTCTGCTTCTTAGGCAGACACTCTGCCCTCCATCTCATTTTTCTTCTTGGCACTGTGATTTGTAATACTGTTCCTGAAAAGGGTTTCATGCATATCTCTTTGCCTCCTTTCAGTACTCAGTTTGTGTCCAGAATGATCATTTCCAACTATCATTGTCGTAGTTGTACCTTCTCTGTCCAAGCTGCTCTCCTCCTTCTCATTGGTGACAAGCTTCTACACTGGGCCAGCCCTCCTGGCCCTTGTTTTTGCTGCCTTTGTTTCCAGATTCTGGCTATTGTGAGCAGTGAACAATAAATAAACAAAGGAGTGCAGATAGCTTTCCTTTGTGTTTTTGGGCCACTGGGATATATTCCCAGGAGTGGTATTCTCCTGCCTGCTTTGGTCCTCTTTTGTTAGTCATTTTCCAGTTTCATTAGTTGTGCAGTCAAGTTACTTACTTTCTTCCTTCCTGATGAATGCTTGCAATAACAATGAACACCCCTCTTAACACCACTTTTGCTCTATCGTACAAGTTCTGGTAGGTAGTGTTCCCATTCTCGTTTGTTTTCATGAATATTTCAACTTCCCCTTTTGTATAAAACTCTGAGGGCAGCCAGAGGGTGGCCCTTATGGCTTTTCCCCTGGCTGCTTGGTTCTGGGGGGCCCAGGCCACTCGCCCAGCTGGGGTGGCCTGGGGCATGGGGCAGATGGTGGAGGAAACAAGGGCCAAGCCAGTTGATTGATCAGATGCTGTTTATTCCATTCTCATCCCCATTCAATTTTTTTAATCCATCCTACCACTCTATGTCGCTTAATTGGTGCATTTAGCCCATTGCCATTGAGAGAGATTATTGTTATAGGGTTTCGTGCCGTCTTTCTGCAGGAGTTTGGCACATCTGTGGGGCTTGTCTTTTCTGAAAGTAGTCCATTTAGTTCTTTTAACAATGGTTTTGAGTCTCTGAAGTTCGTGAATAACAATTGTATTGTACCTTCAAATCTGAATTAGAATCTGACTGGTAAAGTATTCTTGGTGAGGCATTCATTTAATTGAGTTTTTTCACTATATCCCATCACTGTCTTCCGGGCCCATCTGATAATTGTGCTGTAAATCTTTTTTTTTTTCCCTTTATTTTATTTATTATTTTTTTTTTACAGTTGTAGATTTACAATTTTTTGTGCTTGGGTTTCAATTATACAATGATCAGATACCCATCCCTCCACCAGTGCCCATTTTTCACCACCATGGATAATATCCCTCCCACCCTGATCCCCTCATCCCCCCCTGTCTCTGTGGCAGGGCAATCCCCTGTGTTCTCTCTCTCCGTCTGGGTGTTGTGGTCTGCAAAAGAGGCATTGAGTGGCAAACATGTTCAGTCCATAGTCTACTTTCGACATGCATCTCCCCTCCTGGGAGGATCCTCCAAACATCCTTTATTTGGTGCTCCCTTCTCTATCTGAACTGCCCTTTCCTCTAGGATACCCGGCTGGCCTCTAAGTTATGGAGTAATCATCCTGGTGCTGATCTCAGCTATTCTTGGGTATTAATCTCATACTTTGTTACTTTATATCCCCCAGATGAATGCAATCTTTCTATGTCTATCCCTCTCTTTCTGACTCATTTCGCTTAGCATGATACTTTCCATATTGTACCACTTGTATGTAAATTTCATGACTTCATCTTTTCTAACAGCTACATAGTACTCCATTGTGTAGATGTGCCAAAGTTTCTTTAACCAGTCATCTGTTCTTGGGCATTCAGGTTTCTTCCAGTTTCTGGCTATTGTAAAGAGTGCTGCAATGAACAAACAAGTGCAGATGTCACTTCGACTATACATTTTTGCCTCTCTGGGATATATTCCCAGGAGTGGTATTGCTGGGTCAAATGGGAACTCAATTTCTAATTTTTTGAGAATCGTCCATACTGTTGTCCAGAAGGGCTGAATCAGTGGACATTCCCACCAACAATGAAGGAGTGTCCCTTTCTCGCCACATCCACGCCAGCATTGGTTGCTTTTGTTCTTTTGAATGTGGGCCAGTCTCTGAGGTGTGAGATGGTATCTCATTGTGGTTTTGATCTGCATCTCTCTGATGATTAATGATGTAGAGCATTTTCTCATGTGCTTTTTTGCCATTCGGATTTCTTCTTTGAGAAAGTTTCTGTTCATTTCATTGCCCCATTTTTGGATGGGGTTGGATGTTTTCTTCTTGTGGATGTGCTGTAAATCTTAAGGATGCTCTTTTTTAAGTAATTTCCTTCTTTGATGTTGCTTCTTTCAGTATTCCATCTCTATCTATGGTTTTCATCATTCTGATTAGGATGTCTAGGAATATTTTTATTTAGATTTCTTTGAGCTGTACCCTTTGTGCCTCCTGGACCTGTATGCATGCACTTTTCAGCTCTGGGAACTTCTCAGCAATGATGACTTTGATTGTTGCTTATTGATCAGGGTTTATTGATCAGGGTCATCTTCCTGTCCCTCTGGGACACTAATGATTCTTTTGTTGTTCCTCTTGAATTCATCCCAAAATTCTCTTGTGACCTGTTGGTTTGCTTTGAGGCTCTTTTCCATCTTCTGCTATTGTATGGAAATTTTCTGTACCTTATCTTGGAACTCATTGGTTCTGTCCTTAGCAGCTGTTATTATGCTACTGAGGCCCTCCAATGAGTTTTTTATTCCAACTATCAAGTTTTTCAGATCTGCTGTTTTTATTTGTATTTTTACTCATTTTTGCTCATATATCCTCTTGTTTTTTATTGGCTGTATGTTCCATTGTTTCTTTGAGCTCCTGATACAGCCTCAATAATTCCATTCTAAATTTCTTATTAAAAAGGTTGTTTAGCTCATTTTTACTAGGTAGGTCTTCCAAGCTAGCATTTTCACTCACTAACCTGGTGAGTTTCTGTGTTGCTTTACCATTGTGACCTTTGTAGTTTGGATTTGTTTCCTGTGTGTTTTTTTATGGTTAGGTGCCAGTTTGGATGCTTTTGTATGTTTACAGTGAGCTAAGGAGAGATGAGGAAATAATTGGCAGTGGAGCAAAGCAGAACAGCTGTGCTTTTTGCAGGCGAGGTGCAATCCTGACCTGGTGGGCAAAATGGCACTCCTGAGTGTAATCCAGAGCCCCTGATGCTTGACCTTCCTTCAGTTTACATAGTCAATTATTACTGAGAACAACTTGACAGAGCATTCTTTTTTTCCTCTTTTATTTTTATTTATTTATGTAAAGGTAGTCTACAGAAAAATTTATTTTACTTCTATGCCTTAACACTTTACCAAATATCCAAAATCCAAAGACATAAGAGGTGTTATATATGTGTATGATCGTACACATGTGTGTATGTGAAAATGCACATGGACTTACTCATTTACAGTTAAGCTCAGTTACTTACAACCATTTTTATATAAACCAAAGAAGAATACAGTATATTGTTTTGCATGATCCATTAATCCTTGTCTCTTCAACTTGTAAATATAGGGGCTGGAGCGAGAGCACAGCCGGTAAGGCGATTGCTGTGTGGGCAGCTGACCCGGGTCAGACTCACACTCAGGTCGGCTGTATGCAAGGCAAGCCCTATCTGCTGTGCTATCACTCCAGCCCCACTTTTTCAATAGTTTGACAGAACATTCTTCCTTTAACAGAGACCTGGATTTTCCTAGAAAGAATGCAAGTTTTTTTGCTGATCAGTCTGTGGTCTTAAACCATTTCCCAGTGGATGTCTGTAATCATAAATATTAGTTATGTGGAGCTTACTATGTAAATCAGTATACTGTATATGCATGTTGTTAATATCATATTAGTTATAGAAGCTTGCTCTCCAGTACTTCATCCCTATTGAATATGAATATAGACATTTGTTCCATGGCAATGATTCTGATGGTTCATTCTGTGTTGAAAGCCCCATTGCAGTGAGAATCATGAATGATCAATTGATGTTCCTGGAACGAGCATTCATTGACCCCCTTGGCTTACCAGGGAGACAGTTCTACAGGTAAGGAAGCAACAGGTGTGCCACTGAAGTCTGAAATTATTGGGGGCATGGAAGGTGAATATGTACAGAAAGATAAAAGGGTGAGATTAGACCTAAAAGTTATTTAATATTAGAAAATATTGTTATGTTATTTATTACTTTGTTGCCCATATAAATGGGAAATTGTCATGAAAAAAATACCCTAGGAACTGGAGTGATAGTACAGTGGGGAGGGCTCTTGCTTTGCATGTACTTCACCTGGTTCAATACCCAGCACCCCATATGGTCTCCTGAGCCCACCAGGAGTGATTCCTAAGTAATAGGAATAAGAGCCAGGAACAAACTCCAAGCACCATACTCTTTGTAACAAAAATCTAAAAGTGAGAGATTTATAGAGTGTGAAAGCTCGTATAATTTTACCATCTACATGGATACTTTCAGTCAGTTCTCAGGGGAGCAGCCATTCAGTGATGGGAAACTTAATGCATCAGGTTCCCTCCTTTCCACTTACAAAGGGTCTCTTTGAGAGGTTCCAGAGAGACAGTACAGTGGGTAAGGTGTTTGTCTTATACATGTCCAACTGGGATTGATCCCCAGTATCCTATATGGTCCCCTGAGCTCACCAGGAATGATTCCTGAGCACAGTCAGGAATAATCCCAGAGCATGGCATGTGTAGCTGATCTCCATGTCCCCTATCACCCAAAGGTAAGAAAGAAGTCTCATAAATGCCCCTTTACCTGTTTTAAAATTTAGGGCCATGACTGGTAGCATGAGTAGACTTTCAGTTTATTGATTTACAACCCATAATATATTCTTAAATGAGGGAAAGATTTTCTCTAGTCTGGGAGGCAGGAGAATTGCCTATTACATCTGACCCCCTGCACCTTAAAACCCCCCATAGGGTCATCGACATATCACTTGCATACTGCCACCACTCTGTACTTTTCTTGAACCTTCCTGTGTGCAGTTAGTATGGAGAGGAAAACTAAAAGTGCATCATAGTACCACCTTCTGGAAAACAGAAGACTCCTAAATATCAGCCTGTTTAGCCTTTAGAATCAAAGTCAACTAGTCTAAATAGGAAAGGGCTTCTCTACTTCCAGTATGGCAGCAAAGGCTCTGCTCATCAAACAGTGAAAAATTGTCACAGTATCACAGAATAAAATTGTTATTTTCCATCAGCCATACCCAAAGACATGTAATATTGCAGTTTATAATGTAAAGAACTATCCTGTATTCTCTTATGTAATCACTGGGCAGCTAGGGAATACCACGGATCTCTCTCGCAGCCTGTGTTCAGTGGCATCGTGCCGCTCCCCCACCCAGGATGGCCAATGCCATGGGTGGACAAAGGAGGAAATGAGGGCCAGGCTGGTTTGTGATCAGTTGCCATTTATTCCACTCTCCCCATGTGCCTGCTCCTGCATTATTCCCCTACATTGTTCTTTCCCTGTCCCCCCTGCTAATGTCTCCACACTCCAACTCTTGCCCTGGTCTCTCTCTCATCTCTCACCAACTCCCCAGCATTGGGGCTAGTACAGTCAACATACCAAAAGCCCTTCCTGATCTCCCATCAGGCTCAGGAACACAAATACCACTGGGGGGTTTTCTCCTTTCTTTAGTCCAATAACTTAATTAACATCTTAATTCTACTTCTTAATATTAGTTATTTTGTATGGACATAGTAAGAGCTACATTAAGCTTGTAGGGTGGCTCTCCTGGGAATATCTCTCTATAGATCTCAGACTACAGTGCTCAGGCCAGATTAATCTTTTCTAACCCTAGCAGGGTCCTATCTAGATGTTACTTTCTGGATCATGACAGAATTTGTCCATGGCCATGCTCTTAACTTATAGCTTAGTATTATGGTGCTTGGCCTGGCCCATTTTGATGCCAGGGTAGCTCACAGCTTGCCCTGGGTCCATTCAGTCCCTCGTTGGGACCCTGCTTTTGGGATGCTAGGAAGTAAGGGCATCTGAGGCTTAAGTCGAGAGAACAGATGACCAGGGGTGAATACTATTCATAGTCAGTAAACTCTTAAGTTACAAAAGCATAGCATACACTGTCTTCCTGTGTCTATACAAAAAGGACATTGTTCTAAATTAACTATACAAAGGATTTAAGGGAAGAGAAAAGCAATATTTACAACTTAACAGAGTCTGATTAGGAAATAAAGGTGATTGACTGGTTGAAGAAGCAGAGCACAAAGGAAGAGGTTACAAGTAAACACAGAGGAAAGGGAACACTATGATGGGAGTAGCACTGCACTGTAGCACTGTCCTCCCATTGTTCATCAATTTGCTTGAGCAGGCACCAGTAACTTCTCCATTGGGAGACTTCTTGTTGTTACTGTTTTTGGCATATCGAATATGCCACAGGGAGCTTGCCAGGCTCTGCCGTGTGGGCGGGATATTCTTGGTAGCTTGCTGAGCTCTCCAAAAGGGACGGAGGAATCGAACCCAGGTTGGCCATGTGCAAGGCAAATACCCTACCACCTGTGCTATCGCTCCAGCCCCCACTCTCCGTTCTTGAGATTAATTTTTTAATTTCGATCACCATGAGATAAACCACTGTAAAGCTGTTCATGATTGGGTTTCAGTCATAGAATGCTCCAATAACCCATCCTTCCACCACTGTACATTTTCAGTCACCAGTGTCTCCAGTTTCACTCCTGTCATCCCAATCTCTCCCTCCACCAGCCTGCCTCAGGCATTTCTCTCTCTCTCTCTCTCTCTCTCTTTCTCCCCTCTTTCATGCATTATGATTTGCAATACAGGTACTAAGTGGTCATTGTGTTTGTTCAGGGAGTTCATTGTTTTTATCAGAAACCTATAGCTGGAGTAGTCTTTTTTACTGGGTAGAAGTTTTGGGGGTGGACATGACTGCTGGGGCTTCTAGAAGTACAGGGTGGTGGGAGAAGGTAGCTCATCCCGACCCCAAGAAAACCTGGAAATTTCAGTCACAAATCCCTCATACCCAAATTTTAAGTAGGTTAATTTCTTAGTGAAGTTTGTCTCAAGATAGTGGAGTCTGGCTAGGGACATGGCGGCAATTTTGAATTGTGGGAGCAAGTAGCTTCTGGGGTCTCTGTTAGGCAGGCACTGGGCTAACATGCCCCTTTTGATGTACCTTGGATTACTCAGCCATGTGTGGCCCAAGAAGATTTAAATGCATCTTTTTGATTTTTTTTGAGATTTATTTATGTCTCTGGGGCACGGCCAATGAGCTAGTAAGGTGGAACTGGAGGTGGTTTGTGGATGTTGCTCTTGCATACCTAATATTTGCTTAATTTCTTGGAAAACTTGGTCCTGAGTTGTTGGAGTCTGGCCAGAGGCATGGTAATATGGGGTGTCTGCAAGCCCGAGGGCACAATCAGGCTTCTGATATTCTTGCCTTGTGGGTTCATGTTGCCTCACCTGTAGTGCTGTGCCCTCTTGGCCCAGTAACGATGGGAGCAGAGGCTCCAGTAGTGACTAGGACTAGGGCCAGGGTGGCTACTGTATGGGGCCTGAGCGCTCAGGTGGTCTGCTATCTTCGACCAAACAGAACCTGACTGAGGGCACGTGCCCCCACTTTTGGGTCCAGTCTCCAGCCAGTTGGCTCTTAGGGAGATTTTTCTCCATAGTATGCTGCAGGCAGGGGAGCAGTGGTTGCAGGGACACTCTACATTTGGTGGTGAGTCAGGTAGGCTGCCCAACATGGCCCCCCATGGTGGAAACCCAGGACATGTCCTCAACTCGGGGACCTGCACTCTGCAGTGGTGCTGGGTTGGACCTGAAGAGAGACCTGTGGTAGCTCTGTCAGCTTCTGTGGCTGCTGCCTAGTTGCCACCATCTTCATGAGTCTCACTCCGGATTGACATTCCATGATGGGCCCTAGGTGGTTTCACTTAAAGGCACTCTTTTTGAGATAGAATATTTAAAGGGTACATACATTCATTCATGCAGAAATTTTATGATCCCATCAGCCCAACTGTTCAGAGCGCTGAGAGCTGCCACTGATCTGCCAACTTTGCCATCTGCTCTCTTGCTACCGCCATCTTGGGAATCTTCTTGAGATAATTTGTGATGATACAGTGCCAACAAGATGAGATGAAGTGAGGTGAATGATGTAGGCTTTATGACTTAGAAGATCCACGGAGCAGTCTTGAGGATAACACAGAGTCAGAGGCAAGACCATGAACTTTGGGTGGTCTAGATCTTCAAATCTTGGCTCAAAGGTTGGCTGTCAGAGACACTAACCATGGATGGGGTCTTTTACATCTGTGGTTTGGTGGCTGATACTTTTGGGAAGAATGTTGCCATCAGAGATTCACGATCAAGATCATCCTGTTGTTCATCAATTGCCTTGAGTGGGCACCAGTAATGTTTCCTTTGTCCTAGCTCTGAGATTTTAAAGTGCTATATTCAAGGCCCTTTCAGGGTTAGGAGAATGAGACCCATCATTGTTATTGGTATTTGGTATATTGGGTATACCACGGGGAGTTTGCCAGACACTGCCGTGTGGGCAGGTTACATTCAGTAGCCTGCCGGGTTGTCCAAAGTAAGAATGAGATAATAAGATGTTGTGGGGCCGCGAATGCGGCCATGCACTTCCAGGAGCTGGGTTTTATAGTCTCTGGGTCTTGGCCATTGATGGGATTACACAGTGCCAGGGGGGTCAGTTGGTGGGTGTGACCCCTGCCTACTGGAAGATGGAGGATCTGGGTGGAGGATGCTCAGCCATCAGAGATTGTTGTCTCTAATTCAAAGATTGTGACCTACAATGGTCATGAGGTGACTCTATAATGCTGTGTTCCATTTACATTTTTTGGTTTGGTCCCTTCATACTCATGAAATCTGAAACATGTTGCCAAGTTTTATGTCAACATTTCTTGTTCCTCTTCAGTTTATTTTGGTCTTCCCCATTCCTCTGTACATGATCCGAAAAGCCTTCAAATAGCCTCATTTATTAAGTTTTCAATGGTATGCTATTGCATATCATCAAGCATATTGGCAGATCTATCTCCACCAAACTGACG